AAGGTGAATTAGACATAGCAATGGTTGCTGCAATATTTATGAGTGCTAATAAGTTCTGAGTATTGGATTAAATCCACACTCATTTGAATCACTTCATGGATTTGATCACGAGTGAATCATGAGACGATAATATCTTATATTCTTCAAACCTAGAGATATGAGTTGTTGATTATGAGTTTGTTGTACATGGATTGTACGAAAAAGCATCAGTAACTTGATGTTATAAAACGTTCCTTTGTGTATGATTCAACAAGTAGTTAGTACAAGCATATGAGTCGAAGTTTATCCATTCCTTTTACCTCATAAGGACAAAAGCGATATATGTGGGCCCCTCGATGATTTAGTGATGACACCCCTAAGTGCTTGGCCAAGCCTGGACTGATTTGATTTGTTCAATTAGTCAATTGTTATGAATCGAAAATCGGGAACCAACAAATGGATAAAGAGAATGATTATAATCCATGTATCAGTCCATATGATATCTAGAGTGGAGGAATATATGATAACTTATCTAATGGACGCGTCAATTGATTTGTTCAGAGTTCGACAACGATTTTATGAGCTACGGTTGCTAGTCAGGTTATGAAGTCGAACTTGCAATAATAGTTTTAGACTTATCCAAGTGGGAGACTGTTGGATTAGATGTCTAAGCTCATAACTATTATTAGTATGTACTTGACCCGAAAGTAACATGGTCCATTTGGGTTGCATATCATCAGGACAATTTGTTAGGATGGACTCTTGAGAGAAGGTTAGATATGATTTATTAATATATTATAAATACTAATATATTGATATGAAATCATATGGTTTTAATTAGTATTGATCAAGAATTAATTTGGAATTGATTTAGTGATCAAAAAGAGACTAATTAAATATATGGGGACTAATTATGTTAATTCGTTATATTTATATGTGTTGGGATTATAATCCTTGTTGGACCAAGTTTATGGGTACATAAAGAGATGGGCCACGTGAACCATGGATCATAAAACCCATGGGTATGGGTTTGGGTTTTACCCATGACTCTTAGAATTTAACACATATAAATACACATTTGATGACCTAATAACTGCCAACCCTAGTGTGTGGGTGCATGTTCTTGGAGCTCATGAAGGTTCTAGAGTGCATGGAGATTCTCTCTCAAGTCCTACCTTTGTTCTTGATGTGTTTTGATTCCACTTGAGGCTTCCACACTATTGGGGCTAAGCTTTTAAGACCAAATGCATTAAGACTTCCAGCCATATGAAAAGGTCTGTTACACTAACTAGTATCTTGTGTAGTTTATATCTTTGTATGCTAGTTATAGGCCTAATACTTTGGAAACTCCTTTGCATGTATAATTAGTGAAAAAAAAAGATCCAAGGTATTTAGGATTGCATTAACACCTTAGGAGTGTTAGAATGCTTAAAACCCAACAGTAACCAACTTTGATTCATTCATTACTTCATCTTGATGGGAATTAAATATACCAACAGTTTATGTAAGAGAGTAATTCTTGAATTGTTCATGTTTGTTCAATAGTTTCATCAGACTTTTGCTCTAAAGATTCAAATTCAGACAGAAGTAACGTTTGCATTGAAGGAGTGAGATCAACATCTCCGGAATATAATTCTTTCAATCTATTCCATATCCTATTTGCAGATTTATAAGAGCTAACCAAAATAAAGTATCAGGAGGAAGTGTAAACCTTATGATTCTCAAAACTTTCAAGTTCCTAAATTTTTTTTCTTTATCCACTGAATCAATTTGTTTATCTTTAGAAATGATAGCTGCATAATCTTCTTGAGTTAAATCTTCCTCGTTCGTCAAAGAATACTTGTGCGTTCCTTTTGTAATTGCTTTCCATATGCTAGATCCATAACTTTCAATCTTTAGAACATAATATTCAAAGTAAAGAACCCAAACTTCATAGTCTTCAGGAAATAAAACACGAATTCTCGAGGTGGAACCGATACTACTTGAAGGGTTGAATATGACAGAGTGTGAATCATCTTTTGACATTTTAGGTGAAATTTGATGTGAATCAGATCAATGAACTTGAAAAATAGTAGATTAAATGACTCAAACAAGGAATTAAAGATCAATTTGAAAAGTGTTTGGAAAAATGCGGAACACGTCTGGAAAAACATGATGAACAAATCTAAAAAAGTTCAAATGATCTTCTACTCTGATAAAATTAGAAGGAACATTTAGGTTCACAATTCAAACAAAGATAAGATTCACAATAACACATGATGTAAGTAAGATTTCAATTTCATTAATGAGCAAGTCAGAACAATTCAATACAACGTAAAGAACTATTCTATCCGTAAAACTCTCACTCATTCTTCTATATATATATATATATATATATATATATATATATATATATATATATATATATATATATATATGCATCACATGAATTAAAGAAAGGCTTCTCAAGTCAACAGTTAGGCTGTGAACTTAAGGTAACAAAATGTGCAAGATCGGAACATAACTCACACATAGCAAAGACATTAAGAACAGACTAATACAAGTTGACACAACAATAACTATGAATGCTAAGGTGGTGAGTCTGGTGAAGGTTTAATGCTAACACTGGAAGAATACTTAGTGGGCGTAGGAGCCTAAGGATGAGATGAGGGAGCATTATCCAGAATTATTTGTAGTAGCGGACTTCGAGGACGAAGTCTGATATAAGTGTGGGAGATTTGTAACGCCATCTTTCCAGGTATTTTTCACTTTAGGATTTATTCCTGAAAAAGATTGCAAAATTGGTCCCACGTTAGTCATACAAGCTGGGTATGCCAGGCGTAGGTCCTTAAATATGGTCGTGAAAGCCCTTGCATACGCTAGGTGTACGTATGTGTATGTTGGATGTACAAGCAGAGGGAAAACCCTAATTTTTAGGGTTTGGGCCCTATTTAAAGAACTTTATGGCCTTAAACCCTTTCTCACCTCCAACCTCCATCTCTCTAAGCCTCCATCTCAAACCCTTATTCTTGTGTGTGAGTTTTAAAGCTTTAGAGGGACATTTTGGTGTTCTTGGTGGTAAAGGAAGACCTTCGGAGTTGTGGTATTGCTCCAAAGCTTTTGGATCCAAATTCTTCTCATCTTTGTGCATCTTCTGGAAGTATAAAGTTCATACCTTAGAGCTTTCTTTGCTAGATCATGTTTAAGCTTAGGTTTATTTTCTTTTGTTCCAAAACCTTGATCTTTGTGAGTATGGAATACTCTAGAGCTTTTAAGCTGTCATTTCAAGAGTTTTAGGGTGTATATAGTGGTCCTTGGTATTCATCCGTGCAAGAGTTATGGTAGTTTAGATGATAATATAAGTTGGGGGTTTCGTTTTGAGTTTCCTTTTATGATGCAAAGACATAAAGGTTGCAACTTTATGGCCATAGACGTTTATTAGGCTTAGATCTGAAGACTGGACATTAAGTGTTAATGCATTAAGACATCAAAAGAGAATTTGGGCTTCAGGTTATTACGTAGGGCGAACTTTGGCATATGTTGAGCCTAATGGACTGATGCCCAGTACCCCTCCCCCCCCCCCCCCCCCTTGCAAGATCGTGTTGTATGTTGGGCGTATGGTGGGAATTCCGGCCGTATTCCCAGAAAACCCGGTGGGATGTTTTTGGGCCTTGGATCATTAGGAGTTTTGGGCTTTGATTAGTTGGGTAATATAATTTCATTTATTTATTTAAATCAACGGTTATAATATTATAACTAAACAAATATCTTTTAATTAGTAATTTATTTGAAATAATTGATTGACAATTTTACGTTTTTACTATGAAAAATTTAATTAATTTTATAATCGTCGTTATCATGGGTTATAAACTAGTGCTTTAATATAATTGATAATTGATATGGAGTCGCAAATCAATTATTACGTATGTGATAATAGCATTTGTAATGTAAGCTGAGTTTTACTTGCTTTAACATCGTTTGTCAAAGATGAGATCATATCATAACATCAACAAATCTTGAATGTTTTTACATTTATTCTCTCCAAATTCACAATCTTTCGAAACAATCATGATAACGGCTATGATTATACTCTATGAAAGCTCAAATAATCTCACATCTCATGGTCGAATCTTTAATTAGTGTTAGGTGGCAAAAAAACAATTTAATCACTGTCAAGCCTTCGACAGGATAAGGGCAATTATTGAAGAGTACAACATATTGTTCCAAGAAAACTTATTTGTCCATGCACATTTGGTTTAGTATCAGTACGTGCAATGGGCCAATTTGTTGCGTCATTAGCACTTTCGGAGTGACAAACTAACTATTTTTCAAAGGATTCATAGAATTAAGGCTCAAAACATCACAATACGTGGCTCATTGAACTCTAAGGATGAACTCTACAACATCTACTCTAAAGAAACTAAAATATAAAACACGAATTATATTTTCATGTATATTTTCTTGTGTTTTGTCATTTTTCATGAGACATTTTTTAAAACAACTATCACATATGTAGTAAAACCCTCAATCCCTATGCCTACCATAGTGGAAACCCCTCTTAAATCCATGTATTCATATTTCCCTTCAACCCATCCAAAAACCAAAACAATCCACACTTTAAGTGTTATCCTCCTTCCACAGATTAGTCAAGAAATTTACATAAACAAATAAATAAAAAGTCCCTAAAACTGTACTTTAATAAACTAAAAACTATGCACCTCTTCTTTAAAACAATCGACCTCCAGCAAAAACCCGTAGTGGATGCTGTCTATGGATATGTGGGTTTTAGGAAAAGAAAAGAAAAATTAAAATGATAATTACAAAAGCTCAAGCGAACATGTTTTTTTTAACAAAGGTACTTTTAACTTTTTAACTCAAACGTAATCTAGTAATTACGTCATGTGAATGACAGCTGCCTAACATAGGATGCTCTCAGTTTCACTGTTAACAACACTTGGTGAAGCACATGTCTTTCTCTTCACTCTCTATATGTACATATAACGTACCCCCACAACTCCCGAAGAGCTTGTACACCTTCAAAAATGTCAGCTCCCCCATCACTCACCTCTCTTGCAAACAGAACCATGCATCAGGACAACCCCTACAATCTTCAAAACTTCCATGACCATAATAATCAATCAATCTCCGACGTACGACCCCTTTCTACATCAGTTACCGGCAACGAGACTTATGAGGCCGCCGCTCAACTTCCGTCGTTTCAAGCTTTGGCCCGTCACCAAGAAAAGTCGCAAATGCACATGGACGCGGCCACTGAATACGATCTTTATGGTCAACCACTGTCCCTTGGATCGATAGAGAGCCCCTGCCAGACTTCCCAACCCATTGCTGACGGCATTTATGAGGGTTATGATTTACCACCTTCAAGAACCGATATACGTCCGGCCGGGTCATCTGTAACCGGGAGTACCACCGCTGATCAAATTGGTGCTCCTCAACAGTTTGGCCAAATGAGTATGACCAGCAAAGGTATCAAAAACATTGCGCCGCCTGATTACTATTCCCAACAAGAGTACAAGTAGCTGTTATGAACTTGGGTGAAAAAATAAATATTACATATATAGGAGTGTGATCAATTATCCCAATAGTTGTTTCTGTACTCCCTAATAAACCTTAGTTTTAATCATTATGTTAAGTTCGCATTGTGATCAATTAAATGATAACCTTGATTAATCTACATTTTTGTCATCATCCACCATCGAAATAACATACACAACTATTATTACTGTTTTATATACAAAATTAAGATTTTTGAAGAAATTAAAAAAAAAATAAATAAATAAATAAAAGAAAAATTAAAGAAATCCTGATTATTTAATTTTAAATGATAGTCCGTCATTAAATATTAAAATAAAATTAAAGACTTTTTCTTTAATTTGGAAAAAATATTAACTTGTGAAGACTTTTCTGTTACTTTTTTTGGACTTTATCAAAAACTTTCTTAAAATAATAGCATTTTTCTATATAAAACTCTTATTATTATTTATTATTATTATACCTTTGGGTGTGGTTATTTATACTTCTAAAATTTACACTTAGCCCTTAAATTATACTTCTGAAATTTGAGATGTTACAGGAGGCATATACCAGAAAAGATGATAAAGAATTTAGGGTTTTTGGACATACCCCCACCCCCCTAGGTCAATTTTATATAAAAAACCCGGTGCACAAGGTCGTTTTTCTTCCACTGATGCCTAAATATCGGAAACTTGTTCAAATTTGCCTTTTCCCTTAAGTTTACCTTTTTATGGATGATAGCCTACCTTATGTTTTTGTTAACACAAAACGACACATAACCACCACCACGACCACAATCTGCCATCACCACCAACCTCTGCAACCATCCACCTCATGCCACCACTACCATCTGCCACACACAAACTACCACAATCATTGTTCATCATCTACTTCCACCTAGCGTCAGCCTTATCCCACAACAAGAATTCGGAGTATTAGGGACGACGTTTTTTGAGACGACACAAGCAATAGCGGCGACCCCAGACTTGACGCGCTATGTCGCCTCTAAAACCACATTGTCGTCGCTATTAGCGGCGTCGCTAAAGATAACCACCGGTGATCCGTCGGAGATACGCTACTTTCAATCGTGACCCTTGGTTTGGAAAATAATCCAACGGATAGGGTTTCTTCCTGTGATAAGGCATTAAAGACGACACCTTTAGCGGCCGCTAAAGGGGGCGATCCGTTGACGCACCCTGGAACGAAATCTGACCCTACAATTCCAACCAAATCCAACGGTTGGTAATCGCCAAAAAGTGCACGTATGATTCCCTCCAATTTGTCGCCGCAAATAGCCACATGTCGCCGCTATTAACGTTGCCGCTAATAGCTTAGCCCTTTATGTTCCAGTTCGTCTTCCCCAGACGAACGTTCCTCTCCTTTTTTGACACCACCGGCGATTGCAGTTTCTGTGGCGACTCCGACGACTCCCAACGCTCTCCACCGCTGATTGGGCTACAAACCCTTCTCCCACCGCCGATTGTCCTCCAAAACCGAGTCCCACCGGCGGTTTAACTCCAAAGCGAGTGTCCTCCAATTCCGACGGGAGCTTCGATTTCGTGCTCATATCTCCGGCGATGTTAGTTTTCGTGCTCATATCTCCGGCGATTGTACTCTAATTAACACCACCGATTTTTATTTGAAGTGATTTGTTTTTTTTTTCTTTTTTTCTTTTTTTCGTTCCAGCAGCTTCACCAGCTTCACCACTGTCTAGCTTTCATTTTGCTGGCAAAGACAGGTTAGTTTGATTAGTTTAAATTGATGGAAACTGTAAAATTATTTATTTTGAAGGTTTGCTGTGAAATGGTTTATGAACCTGAAACTGTGAATTTGATTATGTTGAATTCTTTGGATTGATATAAACTGGAACTGTGAAATTGTTTTTTTTTTCAATTGGTTGAATGTGTGTTTCAGTTGATTAATTTGATATGTTTTGTATGAATTGAGTAGTTTATATATATATATATATATATATATTCACTTGTTGATCATGTATGAGTTTGATAAATTTATATGTGAAATTGATATATATATATATATATATATATATATATATATATATATATATATATATATATATATATTTGTGAAACTATTGTATGTTCATCATGAATTTGTATGTAAAATTTAAGAATATTCATATGATTATTAGAAATATATTTTATTGTATATTAAAAGAATAAAATGAATACATCATAATAGATAATTTTTTCTATAAGTTAATGAAGAAACATTCGTAAAAAAGGTTCTTAAAAGAAAAAAAAACCATAATAAACTAATTAAATAAATAATAAATATATAATATCATTTAAAGTAAAATTTAATAATAAAAAAAAATTAAAATTAAAACGTATGCTAAATCTACTAAGTTATAATTAATCGAAGACTAAAAAAAAATAAGTTGATAAATCAAAATTGATCAAAAAAGTTTAAAAAGAAAAAGAAGAAGAATAATAATAAACCATAATAAACTAATTAAATAAATAACAAATATATAATATCATTTAAAGTAAAATTTAATAATAAAAAAAAATAAAAGTTAAAACGCTATGTTAAATCTACTAAGTTATAATTAATCAAAATAGAAAAATAAAAACTAAAATAAGTTGATAAATCAAAATTGGTCAAAAAGGTTTTAAAAAGAAAAAGAAGAAGAATAATAATAAACCAGAATAAACTAATTAAATAAATAACAAATATATAATATTATTTACAGTAAAATTTAATAATAAAAAAAATTAAAAATTAAAACGCTACGCTAAATCTACTAAGTTATAATTAATCAAAATAGAAAAATAAAAACAAAAATAAGTTGACAAATCAAAATATGAAAAAAAAACGATAATATAAATAACAAATATATATACTATCGTTTAAAGTATCATGCTATAATAAAAAAAAATAATTTAAGAAATATTCGGTTGTTATAAATATTCAATCCAAGTTTTACTTCTTGTAGAGTAAACACTAAAACTTAACTTATGTTTCAGTTGCAACATGTCTATTGATAAAACGTGGACTACTATTGAAAACCGTAACTCTACCTTGTTCCAACAAGGACTTGAATCTTTTCTCGAGAGGTCCAAACCACATGTCGATAACAAAGGTCAAATTAGATGCCCGTGTAACAAATGCAATGTCAATAAATTTATACTACTAGCCATAATGAAATTCCATATACTTCAACATGGTTTTAGTCCACATTATATTATATGGAAGTATCACGGCGAAAATACAACTCACCCGGTTGTCGAAGACATACCGCGTAGTAACGAGATGGCTGATGTTATTGATGATGTTATGGGAGGTGTGATTGAAAATGATACCAACTGCAACGAAGGGAACCTAGATACAGACGATAAAGGTGTTGATGTTGGATTTCAAAAGCTGTTAGAGGAAGTCCAATTCAAATTATATCCTGGATGTTCGTTTTCGTCCCTTGACTTTTTAGCAAAGCTGATGCATATCAAGGTGATCAACAAATGGACTGATAGTTCATTCGATCAACTTCTTGAGTTGTTGCAAATTGCATTTCCTGAAGGAAACAGGGTCCCCCCCGTCACATTACAAAGCAAAAAAGACACTTAAAAAGATCGGCTTAGGTTGTGAGTCAATACACGTATGTAAAAATGACTGCTTTCTTTTCTAGAAAGAGCACGAGTTGTTGCAAAAATGTCCAGTTTGTAATGAGAGTCGGTGGGTTGATGAAAATACAAAGGGTAAGAAGGTGGCTCATAAGGTTTTATGATACTTTCCTGTGACCCCCAAACTACAATGTTTGTACTGTTCAAGACACACAGCTAAAGATATGATTTGGCATAGTACCGGACAATCCAAAGATGGTACGATGATTCATCCCGTTGATGGTACTTCATGGAAAAAATTTGATATGAAGTATCCTGACTTCTCGAGGGAACCCCGAAACGTACGCTTAGGGCTTGCTGCTGATGGTTTTAATCCGTTTGGTAACATGTGTAATCCTCACAGCACGTGGCCTGTTATACTCACCACTTACAATCATCCACCATGGCTATGCATCAAAGAGTCATCTTTCATGTTGACCTTGTTGATTCCCGGCCCCAAAGCACCCGGGAAGGACTTGGATGTGTTCCTTAGGCCGTTGGTGGATGAGTTGAAGCAATTATGGAGTTTTGGAGTACGTACTAAAGATGCAGCGACAAATACATTCTTCAATTTGAAAGCGATGTTGTTATGGACAATAAACGACTTTCCTGCTCGTAGTAGTTTATCCGGTTGGAGCGGACAAGGGTACAAAGCTTGTCCGACTTGCAACGAAGACACCCCGTCATACCGAGTATCAAATAAAGTCGTATATATTGGTCATTGCCGGTTCTTAGATGCTGACCATCAATGGAGAAAAAGTTTGGACTATAATGGCAAACATGAGACAAGAGGTTCTCCAAGAAAGTTTAGTGAGGAAGAAATACAAGCGCAACACGCTCGTCTATTGTTTCGTCCACCGGGTAAAGTAGCTGCTCAACGAGCTGGTATTAAGAGAGATCGTGAGGATTTCGAGTTGAATTGGTCCAAAAAGAGCATATTCTTTGAACTTGAGTATTGGTCTTCTCTGGAGCTGAAGCACAACTTCGATCTTATGCATGTTGAAAAAAATGTCGGTGAGAGTCTTGTGGGTACTTCTCTGATGAATGATAAGTCTAAAGACACATCAAATGCTCGGGCGGACTTGACAAAACTGAACATTCGGAAAAATCTATGGTTGAAAAAGAATGGAAACAAGTTCCATAAACCCCATCCACCTTACTCGTTCACGAAAGCTGACCACATTCGTTTTTGTAAGTTTATAAGAAATGTGAAACTGCCAGATGGGTTTGGATCTAACATCGGTAAGAAAGTGAATGAAACCAATACTAATATTATTGGGTTGAAATCTCATGATTATCACATTCTTATGCAATGTTTGTTACCCATTGGAGTTAAAGGTCTTTTGGGGAAAGGTGTTTATACACCTGCGTTTATTGACATTATGGTATAACTTCAGTTGTATTTTGCATTACATAGAAATATGCTTTGATGAAGAGGTCGAAAGAAACTTCAACCGATCGGCATGCTGATATTGTAACCAACATAACTTTGCTTCTTTGATTTAGGAAGTCTAATACAATGCGTTTGTTACCTACAAACTACATAACCTTTGTATCCGCTGTAAGGAAAACCACATATTGTACCAAGAGCATGGTATGGGGAATTATGGATATTAGCCTAGATCATATGGAGCATACTGCGAATGACCATTGGGATTGTGGTTATATGATAATAAAAATTCACTAAATGGTAAGAACTAATGCCTTTAGGGTATGGTATAACTTCAGTTATACCATATATTAAGTAAGCATATTGCTCAAGAACATTGTCGGTGAAGGATATGAAAGAAGCAAAACCAGCCATTATTAAAATATTGTGCAAATTAGAAGTGATCTATCCTCCTGCGTTTTTTGACATTATGGTTCATTTAGTTTTGCATTTACCTGATGAAGCAATTTCTGGAGGCCCAGTATGTATGAGATGGATGTATCCCTTTGAAAGGTATATGAAAAAACTAAAAAACTATGTCAGAAACAAGGCGAGGCCGGAAGGTTCTATAGCTGAGGGTTATGTCGCTGAAGAGGCATTATCATTTTGTTCGATGTACCTTGAAGATGTTGAGACTCGATTCAATCGCCTTGAAAGAAACGAGGATGTTATCATAGAAGAAACAAAGCTATGGGTGTTTCAGTCTAAGTGTCGACCAACTAGCGGAAGGAAAATGAAAAATCTCAGTCTAGAGGAGAGAAAACGTCTACATTGATTTGTGCTTGATAATTGTGAGGAAGTCAGAAAGTATATTGCGTAAGTGTTCTTATCTTTTAATTCATTGTCTTTTTTTAATTTCGCATTTTTACTAAATATATATATTTTTTCATCAATGTAGTGAATTCAAATCATTACATCCTGAAAGTGATGAAAAAATCGAATTTCCTAAATGGTTCCTTCATAAGGTCTATGATATGCAAAAACAAAAATCTCTAGAGTTTAATAAGGAGTTATCAGCTCTTTCAATCGGTGCGCATGCGCATGCCTTTACTTACACCGCTTGCATAGTGAATGGTGTTAGGTATATGGTACTTATGCATGACGCTCAACGATCAACACAAAACTCAGGGGTTCTAACTGAGGGAGAGCATAAGCAGAAATATTATGGTCAGCTAGAAGAGATTATCGAGTTGCATTATCCTCATAAATGATGTTAATCATGATCCCATTGAAAATATCGACAATGATTCAACCGATGTCGTTCTTAGTAATGCTTCTTCCAATTTCACTCTCTCAATTGACTTTAGCCAGTACTTTCAAAATTCTCAATCGATTGAAGATGATATTGAAGTTGACCCACCAACGAGTATCATCAATAATGTGTCTGATTGCGAGACTGATTATGATGAGGAAGATTCTGATTATGATAGTGATGTATCGACAGACACTGAAGTGTCTGGGGGCGAGAATGATTAAAAAATCTTTTTACATTTAATTAGTAAAATAAGGTTTGTATTTGTTGTAGTCATATTATATATATATATATATATATATATATATATATATATATATATATATATATATATATATATATATATATATATATATATATATATATATATATATTCATATTGTGTTATAATTTTTCAGGATGTCATTTTTTTGGATTGCATTGTTCCATCTCATGGCTGCTGTGATGGGTCATGGAGGCGACGGTGGTGACGAGCCACCACATCCGTTCGGTGGAGGTTTCGGTGATCACCAAAACGATGGTAATTAAAATCTATTCTAATTCATTGTATTTCACATTGTATGTATATAAAAAATTATTCTGACTAATATTTTTTTTATGCAGTGGTGCCTCCAAAACGAAG